GGTACTCTGAACTTAAAACCCATTAAAACGATATCTCTGGATCTATTAGGTATTTTATAAAACCTTAAAATGTGAATTGTTTACATAAAACAATAATCATTAGAACCATAAGATAAAGATTTCACTAAGCTATAAAAATTAATATTATATCCACAGATTCTGGTAAAGATTCCTTCCAAAACAGGCACTTAATAAATGAATATACACATAAATTTTAGATTTCAAATATTACTTCATTTTTGCAGTAGTCATAAGTAACATAAAAATCATATGATTTCCTTGTTAAAATGCTCTTAATATAAAACTATTAAATGTAAGGTTTTTTTAAGGCTGGACTATGTATAAAATAATGGGTATATATATATATTTGCTAAAGATCTTTGTTTTAAGTTCCCTTTTCACAGTGAAGGTTACAGGAGCTATAATCACAACAAACAGTAACATTCAAAATCTTGGTTTTTAAAAATCTTTATGTATCCATGCACCATCGACATGTGCTTATGTTTTTTACATCGTGTATGCGGTACCAAATCAGCTTGTAAGTAAGTGCTCGTTTAAACTGAAGTTGTTAATCAACCCGCTTCCTTTTTGCTCACAGTGAAACTAAAATTTTAAGGGATAAAAATCTCAACTCCAATTGCCCCAACACGTTAAGTAAGCTTGGCCACATGACCAGTGTGCCAATTGAAAGGACGAAATGATAACAAGGAACAAAGAGAAGATATTTATTAATGCCTCCACCTTGGTGACGCAAGTAGCTGTGGCTAAAGGCCCAAGCTCTCATTTGAAAGAAATGACATGAGTTTTTACATTTGATTTTTTAAAGACAAGATATACATAATTATATAGTTCTGGTCAAGATGTTATCTCCTGGATCCCTGTCTCAGTTCTGGGTCTGCGACATGGTCCCTGTTGCCTGGTGGTAGAAAATAATTCTAAGAGGTGTTACTCCTGCTCCAAGGTGCAATTGTTCATCTCAGATGATTGCCCTCCTGCAGATGTATATAAAAAGCATTTTAAGGATTTTGAGGATATTTTTGACCACTATTGCCTTTCTAAAACAAATAAGCTGGTTTTTCAAGGTCCATATCTTAGCCAAGTGTAAGTAAGATACAGCTCTAAACATTGGGGTGGGCGAGGGGGTCATTTAAAACCCTGTTTCAAGGTTTACAAAGAGATATTAAAGTTCACAGATAATCTGAATGTGTTACATCATAATAATATATTTGGGACTCAGCTCTGTGAATTTAGCCTTAAAGAAAAACAGTAGCTTAGATAAAATACCTGTTAAATGATTAACATTCTTACTATAAAGGTAAACAAGAGGTTCAAAAGGAGTAAACTGAAAAATGCCAAAATGCTATCCTGCTCTGGATGCCTCAAACCCTAATGAACCATATTTTTTTAACAAACGCAATTTAAAGTACCTGTTATAATGACTTCAATATCTAACAAATAACTAGGGTTTTTTTTGGGGGGGGGTCTTTTTGAGACAGTGTCTCCCTGTAGCCCCAGCTGTCCTGAAACTCACTATGTAGACCAGGCTGGCCTTGAACTCATAGAGATCTGCCTGCCTCTGCCTCCCGAGTGCTGGGATTAAAGGCTCGGGCCACCACACATGGCACAAATAACTAGTTTTAATTGACTAAGAAAACACAAGATTATCAATGTGTTTTACTTGTTCTTATAACTGTTAGGTATTTAAATACCTTATATACATTTTCTGTGTTTTAGATACAATCTCCTGAATTTCCATTAAAAATTATCTTATTAAAACATTTTCTAAATTTTATAATAATAGTAACAATAGTAATGATAAAAACAAGTTTTTATTTCTTTTTGTGTGTGTTTATTGTTGTTGTTTTAGGGTTTTTTGTTTGTTGGTGAGTTTTTTTTTTTTTTTTTTTTTTTTTTGGAGACAGGGTCTCCCTGTAGTGGGGCTAGCCTGGGACTCACTATGTAGACCAGGCTGGCCTTGAACTCACAGAGATCTGCCTGCTTCTCTGCTTCTGGAGTTCTGGAATTAAAGGCATGTACCACCATGCCCAGCAACGTCAAGATTTTTAAAAGGAGACAGAAAGTTAAAGAAGAGTGCTTTAGGATGAGAAAAGACTTTGTATGGTAAGATAGAAATTGTTCCAAAGTTGGAATGGATGAGAATGATGTTAGAAGATTAAAGCATGTTGTAGAAAAGGATTCAGAAAATTAAATTTAAAGAATGTAGATATAGTTATAACTAAGTTGATTATAATATAAAGGTTATTAAAATTTTAAGGTTAAAATTCAATACCCTGAGGTAAAGTTAATGCTTGATTTACAACAATAAATTAAATTATTCTAAAGTATTGAATTACTTTATTATTTTTATTTTATGTGTATGTGTGTATTGCCTACATACAGTATACATACTGTATGTAAGTGCACTCATGTCATGCAATGTCTGCAGAGAGTCAGAAGAGGATGTCAGATCCCCAGGTACTGGAGTTCTAGATGGTTGTTAGCTGCCATATGGGTGTTGGGAACTGAACCTGGGTCCTCTGCAAGAGCAGTCAGTGCTCTCAACAGCTGAGCCTCTCTTCAGCCCCCAAAATATTGAGTAGTGTTTACAAAAACTGACTTAGAAAAACAAAGAATTTAAAATATGATAACTAAAAATTCAAAATTAGTTTCATAATCTTCCTCAAAGGATAAAGAAAACCAGATAATTTCGTCAACCGAAAGAAAAAGGACATAACATCAAAGACTCCATTCTGGCTGGAGGCACTTCTAACCTGCTCCTGTACTGCAAAACTTGCAGAGATAAACTTAAGACTCTCGTGTCTCCCATCATGAAGATGCTAACTTCATCTGAGATCACATCCTTGTGGACTTCAACAATACTGGATGACAGTCATCTTCAACTACATTGACACCTGAGTACCCCAAGTCACTGAACATTTCTGTCAACTTCTATGCTTCTTAAGCCCTTTTATAATTACAAATTTTTAATTGTTTATGATATTTAATATTTCACTTGGTATATTCCTAAATGATAAAAACAATGCTAATCTTGGTTTAAATAACGTTATAAATGACGATATTATTTCTTTTCATTATGTTTGAGCTATGACTGCTTGCCCCAAACCCCTACCTTACTTAAAAGTTTAATTTTCATATTTAGAAGATTCAAGTATTTTTCACTTTCCTTGTAAAAGTTTTTTTCTCATTATTTATTATACTTTGGATTTTTAAAATCTAGCTTTTAAATTGATAAAAAATTATTTTAGTCTTTTAAAAGAAACTCCATTTTGGGGGTACCTATATTTTAAATCCAAATTCTTACAAATAACCTTTTCTCCATTGCATGCATGCGTGTGTGTGTGTGTGTGTGTGTGTGTGTGTGTGTGTGTGTGTATTAACTGGGTCCAACCAACTAGATGACTATGAAGATACAACAAATTAAACACTGTAAAAGACTCTATAAACGTACTCAGATATTTAACAAACAAAGTAACTGTAACCCTATTTACTTTAACTAGAGATACCCAAAGTTTAAGTTAACTCCTCTTATCCAAATTATACAAAAGACATCAATCTCTAATAAACACAACATTCATAATGTTTTATACCTTAAGTACTGATGTTTCTTGATGACTGAATAAGTATGTAAGGGACCCTTTAGTACAATTAGCCATGATTTTAAAAATTAATTAAACAGGGGCTGGAGAGATGGCTCAGCAGTTAAGAGCACTGGCTGCTCTTGCAGAGGACCTGGGTTCGATTCCCAGCACCCACATGGCGGCTAACAACCATCCATAACTCCAGTTCCGGGGGAATCCAACCCCCCTCTTCTGACCTCCTTGGGCATCCTATGACGTGGGTGTACTTACGTACATGTAAGCAATATCCTCATACACTTAAAATAAATAATAATAAAATATTTTTTAAAAAATTAAACATTTGTATTTTGCTAATAAAAAGCAACTTGACACCACTGCAGTGACTCCCTGTAGTGTTCTATGTCCATTTCGTACCACTAAAGAAGATTTGGTTATGCTACAAGGCCTATTTTCTAACAAATCTGATCTCTTGTTTTTATCACTGTTATTACTCTTTGGTATATTGAATAAAAGACAATCTTGTTAAAAGAAAAGTTAAATAAGTACTATATTGTTATCTAATTTCTTCTATAATGTAGCTTTCTATGTACTTTTTGAAAATAAATATGCTATAACATTAATGTAAAAAAACTGATCACATTGATGTCATAGGTAAGAGCTACGATAATTTAAATATTGAAAATCAGTCTTCCTAAAATTAGAACTAGGCGCTCCACAAGAGGTTGTAGCTGTGGAGTCAAGCTGACAAATAGACAGATATACAAAGATAATAGATGATAGCTAGATAGATGATAGATAGTTAAAAGGTAACAGATTTATTTAAATACTCCAAGTATAGGGCTAGAGAGATGGTTCAGTGGTTAAGAGCACTGGCTGCTCTTTAGAGGACCCCAATTCATTCCCAGCACTCACATGGCATCTAACAACCAACCATAACTCCAGTTCCAGAGGAATCCAACACCACCTTCTGATCTCCACAGGCATTGCACAACACAGGTGCACTTACACACATGCAGGCAATACACTCATACACATAAAATAAAAATAATAAAATTTTAAAAATAAATAAATGCTCCAAGTATAAAAAAGATAGTTCATAAAGTATAAATAACTGTTAAGTATAGGAGGAAACAGTCAATCTAGTTTGGGTTTTTTTTTAATGTGTAAATTTTGGTTGTTTAAAAATGCCTGTTTCTGCTGGGCATGATGGCACACCCCTTTAATCCCAGCACTCAGGGGGCAGAGGCAGGTGGACCTCTGTGAAATGCAGGTCAACCTGGTCTCCATGGCAAGTTCCAGGCCAGCTGGGAAAACCCTGTCTTGAAAAACCAAGCCAAAAAACAAATGTGTTTCCTTTGTCTGTTACCTTCATTCTATGAGGCCAGACAGTGTTATCCCCCTGTGGAGAGTGCAAAGGTAGTCCCCCACTACCACAAATTATACAGTCAAGTTCCTCACATTTGGGGAAATCACAGGGATCATCACATCCCAAGTGCAAAGAAGAAGTCTCACTCTGGGGAAACCACCTTTAATTTTCATGATATGTACCAGGTAACAAGACAGTGTACTTGATGGTTTTGTTGCTGTTGTTGTTAAATTTATTTATTTTTACTTTATGTGTATGAGTGCTTTGCCTGCATGTATATATGTGCACCACATGCATGTAATGCCCATGGAGGCCTGAAAAGGATATCGGATTCCCTGGAACTAAAATTATGAACAGTTGTTAGCTGCCACGTGGGTGCAGGGAACCAAACCCAAGTCCTCTAGAAGCGCAGCCAGTGCTCTTAACCACCGAGCCATCTCTCCAGCCCCAATTATTTTAATTTTTGATGTATTACTTTAGAATTTATTTTATGTGTCTGAGTGTATTGTCTGCATGTATGAAAGTGTACCCGTGTCGTGCAGTGCCCTCGGAGGTCAGAAGAGGGTGTCAGATTCCCCTGGAACTGGAGTTAACAGACAGTTGTTAGCTGCCATGTGGGTGCTGGGAATCGAACCCGGGTCCTCTGCAAGAGCCCACTGGGCCAACTGTCCAGCCCCTGCTGCATTGCTCTTAATATATGTCACATGTTGCATCAAATACAGAGAATTTTTTAAACTCATAATGGCTAGTAGACTTTAAGGACTGTTCTTCCTGCCTACTACTCAGCCTCATCTACATCAGATTCTAGCAAGCCTCTCCTAGCAACGTAGGACACTAACAATATTTAGTAAATAATATGTGGCCCCTACATGCACAACATATAATGCTTGGCCAACAGAGGGAACTATAAACAGAAGTTGCCAGAAAGAAGCTGCACCTTCAAACGGAACCTTCTGCAAGACTGACTGACTGATTAGAACCTCAGTGATTGTGGAGACAGTGGACTGCTGCAAGCAGAGCCAAATTATCTTGGGCATCATTAGCCCCTTAAGAGCAATTTTTTGTCCTCCTCTGTAAATGACCTAACAGCCCTTTAGGTCAAGGCTATGGGATGTACAGACAGAGCACTAGTTTTCCCTTGGAATGTGTTGACTTAGCAGACCACCACCAGCTTCCAGTCCCTCAGGAGCTGAGTGTCGTCTGAGACACTATTCCTGGGAGATGAGAACAAACATCTACTCATCCCAGATAAGGAACCAATGACAGAGCAAAATAAGGATACCACCAAAGTCCAACTTGGTGAACCAGTTATTTTATTGTTTTTTTTTTTACAGGAATATGGGTGAGGGGTTACTTACAGGAGCAGAAACAACTGAAAGACAGCTACATCACCAAAAACCCATCCCAGCATGGGTGGACAGCTCATGAAAGCAGAAAACCTGGACCTGTACAACCTGCAGTTAGCTCAGCTATAATACCTGCTCTGACATGCTGGAGAGTATCTTTGGGCAGCTCAGTGGGTCTGAGCCTTTTAGGCAGCTTGGCTGGTCTCTGCTTCTTCCAGAAGGTTTGGCTGCTTTGAGCATCTTCTAGGCAGCTTTTCTTGTCTGAGAGTATCTCTTAGTGGTCCTTAGGGTTTATATATGCCGGGGGAGGGAGAGGCCTAGTGATCTGGTCAATTTCAGGGACTTCATGAAGCTATTGAGTCATTTACTTTCTGAGCTTAAGGCCCTTCCCTTCAGGACTGAATGTTCACCTCCCCTCAGAACACCATCTTCCCTCCAAGATGGAAAGAAATTGCTACACAGTTAGAAAGCATCTGAGGCCTGTAACAGGGGTTTCTCCCCTCTGCTGACCCCGTCTTCGATGACTTCACCAATGTATTTGAAAAGTGTTTTGATTTATGGCTTTCTTTGTTCTGTTACTACAAAAATTTCATGAAAGTGTTACCATGTCGGAACATGAACTTTGGGGTGACCCGAATCCATGCTCCCTGTGTTAGAAATAAAATCTGAGGTCCAAGGACCGCACCAATACTACACAAAGAACATGTGGACAAAGCAAAGGTAATTCAACAAGGCAGCTTTTACATTTGCAAAAGGTGTGTTGCCTCATTCAGATAGCAAGCAAGTACATCAAGCAGGAAATTGGATAGGTTTTTATCCTAATGTAATATTGTGTCTTTTCCCCATTGGCTGGGGGCAGACCTCACAGACTTTTGTGGTTGGTTAGTTTTAAAAGAATTGGGCCAGGCATGGCTTTAATCCCAGTACTCGGGAGGCAGAAGCAGGCAGATCTCTGTGAGTTCCAAGCCAACCTGGTCCCCATAGTGAGCTCCAGGTTAGCTGTGGCTACAGGGAGACCCTGTCTCAACAAAGAAAGGACTGGAGCAAGGTAATGAAGGACAGAGTAGAGGGGTTGGCCTAAAGGGAAGGAAGGGCCTTTGCACAAACAAAAGTTTTACAAGGTGGGGCAGGATTAAAAGATTTTAATTCCCAGTTAACAAAAGCTTTACAATATGGGGGTGGATTGCAAAACACCATTACAGAGGTTACATCTCTGTGATCATCCTTTTGATAGAAATGACTTTAATTCTCTGTAATTATTTCCTTCACGGGGCCATGGTCACCCATTTTTGACTCCAGAATAGACTGCCTCTTACCCTATTTGAAGTGAGAGTTGTGTTTTGGTGTGGACAACTCCCTTCTACAAACCTCAGCCATGTCATTTGTAAATAAGGCAGTGTGTCTCCCTGCCAGGAGAAGGTGTTTCAGATGAAGAAAGCCTGACCCTGGGGTCAGGGGATACCACAACACTGCCCACACCATCACCTAGGTGGTTTCTCACCTAGAGAGCTTGGTTCAAGACTCTTAATGCTTCAAGTTCATGGCCCAGCCCTCAGAGACAGCCTTTTCTTTAAAGGATGCCCTAAGGTTGCATCTCTAAGCTACACTCTGAACCAGTCTCCAGCAAGGCTCGGAGGAGATGAATGAGGAAGAGAAGGCTGCCCCTCCACCCTCCACCCAGGGAGGTGTATTCTACACCCTTCCAGCCAGAGCTGAGAGGATGAGGGAAGGAGAGAGTAGACCCTGGGGTGTGGTAGGGGCTCCTGTGAAGCTGCTCACCCACTTCACCCCTAGATACAATGCCAAGCGATCATAGAGGCTAAAGCAAAGACTGCCACCACACATGTGCTCAAGAAACCCACAGCCTAGAGCACCATGACCCCGAGGCATTCTGCAGTGAGCTGCTCTGCATCCACACCCTTTGGGGGTCTTTGTTCACCCTCTCCATTCCTTCCCCAGTTCTCCTCTCCCACCTCCCACTATCTTGCCCTTTCAGGGCTCCATGAATCCCTCTGGTTTTTCCAACTCATCTGAAAGCCAAAGTCAAGGTCTTGGGAGGTCACAGGCTGATCTGTCACCTTTTTTCCCAAGGAGTGTGCTGTAAACCTGGAGGGATGACCTGGGGCAGGCCTTGCTGGCCCACTATCTCTATGGCTGTAATGGGTCTGTGATAGGTTTGCTCTGACTTCCCTCGCCCACACCAGGGACCTTGCTGAGTGCTGGGGCACACATAGATAGCATAATCCTGTATGCCAATCATAGTTCAAGACAGGGCTTTTGAGAACTCTTCCACTTTTGCTCCAAGTCAGTCAAGGCTGCTCCTCCAACCCTCTCCATCGACCCAATCCCCTACCCCAAGTTCAGATTGCACTGCCCTCCATCTTTCTGGGAGAGTTTCCACACCATGAATTAAAACACAAGTCACCCCGTGCAGAATGCAGTGGGCACCAGGGCCTGCTGATGAGGTTTCCATCTCTGTCTTCAGGAGACAAGTCCTCAGGTGTCCCTGGGCTGGGGTGCCCGTGGGGGCATTCCCAGGTGAGGCTCAGAGCATGCCGGTCTCCTTCTCGTTCATCGAAGTCCTCTCATTCAGTGATGACATCTTGGTGAAACTCCTGTGGCTGGGATAGGAGGAGTGTCCTGTGTCCTCGCTCAGGGCATTGACCAGACGGGAGAAGAGGGCCACCTTGAACTTCTTGAAGTCCTGGCCCATGAAGACATACAGAATGGGGTTCATGCAGCTGTTAGCGATGGCGATGGCAGTGGCCAGGGGCACACCCAGGCTGAAAACAGAGCCAGGTACAGCAGTGTGGTGGAGCTCCAGCAGGTAGAGGGTGTGGTAGGGACACCAGCAAAGGAAGAAGGTGACGATAATGGTGACGATGATCTTGAAAGGCTTCTTGTTCTTGGCCAGACGGTTGCGCCGCAGCTTGCAGACAATGGTGAGGTAACAGGCTGTGATAATGAGGACAGGGACCAGGAAGCCACAAAGGAATCGAGTGACAGTCACCACCATGTGTCTGCTGAACCCTACAGAGTCAGTTCGGGAGTGAGAGGGATTTGGGAAAGACGCAGCTGCAGACAAGCTGAAGTTGTTGAAGCAGGATATTTTCCCATGTACTTTGGCTGTGTCTCGGAAGACAAGAGACGGGGAACTCAAGAAGAAAGCCAGGACCCAGATGACCACACAGGCCATGTAGGCCAGCCGGATGCTGCGCTGGTTCTGGGCCCAGACGGGAAGAAGCACAGAGACGCAACGGTCAAAGCTGATGGCAGTGAGCAAGAAGACGCTGGTATACATGTTATGGATGAGAAGAAAGTTGCTGATCTTGCACATGGCTCTCCCAAACACCCAGTGGTAATCCATGGCAGCGTAAGTGATGTGGATGGGCAGGAAGACATTGAACAGGAAATCTGCGATGGCCAGGTTCACAAACCAGACAGTGTTCACCGTCTTCTTCATCTTGAAAGTGGCAATGATGATCACCAAGCCGTTGCCTAGGATCCCGAGGAAGCACACGATGCTGTAGACCACCACCAGGAAGATCCGGGCCACCCTGGCTTCCAACGGAGACACCTCTTCCAAAACCACCATGGAGTCAAAGTTGTCAGTGTACTCATCATAGGTGATGGAATCATTGTAATCCTCATACTCCATCTCTGCAAGAGAAGATGGGGATCACCAGGGGAACGACTTTGCCTGACACAGAGGAGACATTGCCGAGCACAAGCCCTCTCTGATTCTGGTGAGTTAGTTGATGCCCCCTCTGCTGTTTTATTTCTTGACTTATTTACCCATCTATTTGTTTGTGTATGTGTGTGTGAACATATGTACATGGATGCAGGTGCATATGGAGGCCAGAGATTGATGTTAGGTGTCTTCCTCAATCATTTAACATCTTGGTTTTTGAGACAGGGCCTCTATTCAACTAGACTAGCTTGTCAGTGAGCCCCAGAGATCCTCCCGACTCTACCTCCTGAGCACGGGGATTGCAGGCACACACCACTACACCCATACAGCATTTTATGTAGGTGCTGGAGAGCTGAACTCAGGTCCTCATACTTGTGTATCAAGCACTTACTGTCTCCCGAGTCCCATTGCTTTATCTCTTTAACGTTTGTAGCTTTCCTGTAAGTCAGGCACTATGGTTAAGGGTTGGCGTATTATATAAATGGATGTCAGCTGGACCACACACAAGTCCAGGTGGGAATGAGAGACCGGGGCAGGGGGACCTCACCTCCAAACAGGCTAAAGCAGAATGGATTAGGAACCCCAACTAACAAATTAGGAGGATGATGAGGGGGTGGTCTCTCTTTTCTTGCTAGGAAAAGGTGCTAGGTGACGTTCAAACCCCACTCCAGAGTCCTTGTTCTAGACACCCTCTTAAGGACCCTTCCTTCCCCTACAGACTATGGGGGAAGCAATTAGTTACCAAATTCCCCTGGGATGTGGACTGTTGCTCTTTCGACAACACTAATTACAAGGAAGGAGAAAAGCCTAGTCCTGGGACTGTGGCTCCACCCACAGACCAAAGGCCAGGGAACAACCCCAGGAGGACCCTCCCCTACTCCACCCTGTTGATGGTCACTGGTTCCGTTTGGAGACATAGGTCCCTACCTTTGGAGGTCCTCACTGTTCACTGTTGCAAAGCAGCGGTCGGTGGTCCTCAGCCAGTAAGTCCCTGTGCACAGCTGGAAATACCTGCAGGGAGAAAGAAGCAGCAGGTAGATCCCGAGTCAGGACAGGATCCATTGCTACTGTTCCCATCCGACAGGAGGAAACAGAAATTCAGAGAGGTGAGTGTCACTCAGCCAAGGTTATGCTGCTGGGAAGTAGGAGGCCTTGAGTCTAGACCAACTGGCTCTAATCAGCTCAACTGCCAAATGACTCCCCATTCCAGGAAAAGAAGGTAAAGACCTGGTATGAGGCAGATGCCAAGGAGGGTGTGAGTGGCCCCCCGCAGACTCACCACCTAGGGAAGACTGGGAAGACCAGCCCAGGCAGTGGAGGCACAGAGGAGACAGAAAAGTTACGTCAAGCATCTGCCCAGCACCCAGACCCCATTCCCTTATGCCATCCAGTTTTCCAGGGACTTCTTCCCAGCCCACGTAGTTGCTCTTGTTTAAAGATGTGGAAACTGGGACCAGTGAGATGGCTCAGCCGATAAAGGCATTTGCTGCTAAGCCTGAAGACCTGAGTTTGATCCCTGGGGCCCTCACAGCAGAGGGATGCAGCTTCCCTGCAGCTCTCTGTGGGACAGTTAAGAAGCAGTGTGTGCTGCGACCTGTCAGCCATCACATTATGGTTTTTGGCTGCCCTATGCTCTTTGTCCCAAGGCTACGCTGAATTAAATCACATGATATGAAACTTCCCGCCATCTCTCAAAGGTTGGAAAAAGTCAAACCTTCCCTTTGACTTGGGATCTGGTCCCAAGATGAAGGCTGCTCTCTGAAGAGGCCCCTCTGCCCCGACGGCACCATCACCCCCACCCCACCGTGGCTCTCTCCAGGCTTTAAAGGGAAGCTCCTCCTTCCCTTTAAGACCCATCATTTTTAGATCTCCAGACCACTCTGTTATCTTTTGTAACACCCACCAGGAATGGATCAGTGTCAAATCACTTGGTGTGTTGGCCAACACCTCCTCCCTCCAGCCCTCCAGGGAAGGGGAGGGGAAAAAAGGGAGGGAGGGAGGGAGGGAGGGAGGAGGCCTAAATTCCAGTTCAGCCTAAGGGGGTAAAGAAATATACCCATGCATTTAATGTCACGTTTGTGTGTCTAATATTGTTTCGTGACTGATTTTATACTTTAGGACATAGTCCTCACCTTAGAGTGAGTTTATGGATGCTTACTAAAATCTGTGTTGAAAAAGGGATCAAAGGTAAAATCCAGAAAGCTATCTTGAGAAACAAATACCACAGTTATCTAGTGGAACATCTGTTTGCAACTCCCTTGCTTGCAATAAACTCTGTTCTTAAAGAATATCTTAGCCCCTGCCCTAAATGTCTGCCTCTGCAAACAGATCCACAGAAGGCATTTCCTTTTGGTGGTCTTAGGGAACAAAAACATCTGTGCTGGTAATCACGTAGGCTGTAACTTAAACCCACCAATACTATAAACAGTTAAAGAATACCTTGAGGAGACTTTAAAAACTGTGAAGGAACTAGACTGAGGATTTGAATCTTTTAGGAGGAAATCCCACTGGAGTCCACCAGCAGGAATAAACTCTCCCAGTTTCTTTACGTGAGTCTCTTGGTATCTTCTCTCTATGAGGTGGGTCCTGTGCCTCAGTTTCCCATAACAAGTCCTTAGCCTCACTCTGTTCCCCACAACTCTTTCTTTAGTCCAAGTCTACCCAGAGCACAGCCAGTCTTCATATCTTGGGGAGGATTCATGACCTCCCTGGGGACCTAGGGAATGACAGTAACCACAGCACCTCAGTTTCCCTGCCTGTCGGGTGGGTGTGATGGTGATGGGTTGAGAATTCCTATGTTGTAAGAGGTCACAAAGATAAACATTGAATGTGAGGCAGTCGCCCCTCAATGTCCACAGGGTGCTGCTGGCTCCCACATACCTCTTGAATACCCAATGGAGTCTCACATCCATTTCTTATATAAAAGAACATATTTTCATATAAAGCAACACATACCCTACCATACACTGTTACTTTCCTCTGGACTGTCTGTGATGCCTAATGCCAAGCAAATACTATGTACGTGGTTTCCGTAAATCTGCGCATGCTCAATACAGAAGCAAACTTTCCCCCAAATGTTTTTTTTCTTTCTTTTCTTTTCTGAGACAGAATCTGCTATGTAGTCCAAGCTGGCCTCAAACTGGTGATACTCCTGCCTCTGCCTCTTGAGTACTGGGTGTGTACCACCATTACCTAGCTTTCCTAAATACTGTCCATCTGTGACTGGTTGAATCCAGGGATATAGAATCTGGCTATAAGGAGGGTTGACTATTCTCAGAACGGCCCGTCACAGGACAAGACTGTGATGTTCTCTTAGTGTCCCCCTAAGGTGGCCTTTGCCTGGGCATATGGGAAAAAAAGCCAGCCAGGGAGGCTGGGTGAACGGTGCGGTCCTGTCCTCCTTCCTTTTCCCGCTGGAGCTGGCCATTCCCAGCTCCCTGTCTCTTCTCTCTGAGAGGCTAAGCGTCTCCCTCCTGATGCCTGGAACACTGTGTGGGGTGGCAGTGGATCCTCTGCCAGGTACAAAGAGCCCTTCAACTCCTGTCATTCATGGTCCTTCAACCTCCATAACCAGGAAGCTTATGGGAAAAAATTAAGTGTAACTTGATAGGGACTGAACACAGCTACAGGGAGAACTCTACTTTGTGAATGAGAAAACGGGTTCAGGGAGGCCCAAGCCACTTGCCTGAGGCCACACACTGAGAAGTCTGATCCCTGGGGAAAAGGTTCAGACATCCCTGCTCCCCTGAAAGGTGGCCAGTCCCCAGTCCACCTGCTCTGAGCCCTCCAAGCTTTAGCCTTGAGTCCTGAGAACTCAACCCCTCCTTCACAATCCTAATAAGCCTTCACAGAGCCTCCTTCCTTGGGATCCCTTCATTTTCTAAACAGCTCCCGTGTGAAAATCACCCCTGCCCACTGCCCTCCTCAGGTATCCACTGAGAAATACCCTTGAAGAGTCTGTGGTAAAGAACAATATCAATATGGCTTCCCCCTGAGGACCACGATGCTTCCTTGATCTAGAACTAATCACATTTCCCTTTCTGATGTGGCCACAGGGAAGCTCAACGTCATTTTTACAAATTTAGGACAGCAACTCTACAGGTCTGTAGGTTTCCTCAGTGGTTTCAGTTGGTCCTTATGTTTGCATCTAAGCCTACTCTATATTCGTTTCAATTCCTAGTGATAAATAATTGAGTGGCAGCCCAGACACTGTGCTAAGCACCCTTAACTACATGAGCTTGCACAACTCTATCTCCAGAGGTGATATTGCCAGAATTGGTAAAGATGAGGAAGTGAAGTTGACGTCACAGGGTCAGTAGGAGGCAGGTTCTACACCTAAGTCACTCTAACCTCCACTCTGACTCTTATCCATACTGATTCTAGAAGACAGAGCACAGGGCCTCAGGCACCCTCTCCCCTATCAAGAAATCCTCCCCCTTGTCCACTTTTCTGAGCCTTGTCCCTCCTCCAAAGGAGCCCACCCTCTCTGGTTTCCAGGATCATCTGGCTGAGGTTTGGAGCATACATACCCACTCACAGCATTGTCATAGCAGGGCATCCTGCCCCCTCCTCCTATCCTTAGCTACCCCAGGAGCCCAGCTGCTCCCAGGGCTGCCTGAGACCCTGAGTTCACATTCATCTGACACAGGGACCCAGAGTACCCTGCCTGATCCAGAGCACCCTAGGCCTGTCTTGTCCTTTGCTTAGGACAGTCCTGTGGGTCTCTAAGAAGGGATGTAGGAAGGAGGTGACAGCACAGGACCTCATGTGGGAGGCCCTAAACAAGTCACTTCCCTTCCCAGGGCCTTGGTGGCATGGTCTGGGGAACAGGATGATGACAACATCCACCCCCATTAGAACGTCTCAGAACCATGACACCCAAGGCCAAGAACCACTGGAGTTGGGACATGGTGGTAGGTGGTCTCTAGACTTCTCTCTGAAGCCCCAGATGCCCTCATATACCAATCCAAGGCCCCCCCTAGTTCACCCCAGTCCTAGGGAGCTTGATAGAGAAAAACCCAGAAGACTTGAGTCAAGGCCCCAGGAGGTGAGAGCCCTCTGATTTGTGGCAGAGGAGAAGCCAGTGAGAACCGGGGCATGGGAACCGGGACAATGGGAAGTCTTTCCAGACCAGCAGGGTAGCAGCCTCCACAATGCCAAATGACTCTTCCTTCTCCAAAGTCACGCTGGAAACCAGGTTCAAATGTCCTCTGTAGGGGCCTTCCTTTGGCACCTCCCCATAATGGCACCTACTCCCTCAAGAAGTGCCCCCCTGAAGCTTATGGATCTGGGGCAACTTGGGGGAAGAGTCTTTGAAAAAGTAAGGATCTCAAAGTAAAGATGGTCTGAGTGTAGTGACAGAAAATGGCATGGCTGGTGTGATGGCACAGGGAGGGAGGCAGGAGTCTGAGTTCTAGGTCAAGCAGGACTAAGAGTGAGACTCTATCTCAAAATAAGCAACATATAACAGAGAGAATTAGGAAGGCAAGGCCATATGAAAATGCAGCCAAGATGGCCACCTGGAGCCACCTGGAGCCACTGGAAGAGCAGGAAACACCCCAGACAGCCCAGCGGCCCATTCCTCAGATCCCAACTCCTGCCCTCCAGGACAAGCTCTTCCCGTTTTCAGTCTTGGGAAGTAAACACTGAAACCCTGAGCTTCCTCAGTGTGCTGCCTACCTAGGTAGGGCCTGTGGTACTGGAGTTTCAGGGCTGCCTTACACATATGTGCAGATGGCAAGTTTCCTGGGGAGGAGAACCAGGTCTGATTCTACTCCACCTCCTTGGGTCAGAGCAAACTGCCACCAACTACTTTTCCTTCTGCTTTGTTTTCCTAACAGATTGAGCAAAACACTGTGTAGCTGCAACTTGAGCTTCCTACCAGTATGGCTGCCTCAGGGTAGCAGACGCTAGCTATACCCCTGGGCTCTGGGAGAGAGTGTTTCCCATGAGTGTGGCTTCTGGGGACCTGAATCATAGTGTCACTTCTGCCTTCCCCTTTATAAACCTATTTAAAAATGATTATAGACTCACAGGAAATGCAGAGTTGAATGATACCCCATGCACTGAGCAACAACCCATGGACCTCTCACCCAGCATCTGATGAATGGATGGCTGAGTGAGCAATCATATGAATGAATCAATGAGCCTTTGATGGCTTACTGGCTTGGTCTAGATGTCAGAACTACAATAGCAATGACACACTAATGCCACAGATCAAAGGGACTCAGTGCTCAGCACAGGGCTGGCCTCATACCACCAGCCTTGGAGTGTGCCATGACCTAGAGTTCAGTTCCCATCAGTATTTGAGGCTAATTGGAGGACCAGCCTCCCAGAAGTCGGTGTGAAGATAGGTGTCCTAGTGAGTTTTAAGTGTGAACTTGACACAACCAGAGTCACCTGAGGAAGGACTCTCAGTGGAGGGATTTTCCAGATCAGATTGTCCTATGGGCATGCCAGTGGAGGACCAGCCTCAAGTGTTAATTGATGTTGGGGGAGGGGGCAGCCCACTATGGGTGGCACCATTCCCTGGGCAAGTGGTTCTAGGCTATATAAGGAAGTTAGCTAACCACGTGTCAGTGAGTAAGCCAACAAGCATCATTCTTCCATGGTTCCTGCTGCAAGATCCTGCCTGAATTCCTACTCTTGACTTCCCTCAAGATGAAGTAAATGCAACCCTTACACCTAAGACCCAGGAACATCCCTGAAGAGGGGGTGGAAAGATTTTTAAGAGCCAGAGGACCAGATGCCTGCTGTGAGATAGTGTCTTCTAGACACAATGGGAAAGCTGAAGCCATAAAATCTAAACAAGACCTACATAATGACAACACCAGCTGACTTGCCAATGTGGATGGGGGAAATTTCACAAGGTCCTACCTCTAAATGAAGATCTACAGGCAATCAATGGCACTAGCTGTGGAGAGAGACAGAATCAAGAGCTCCCTAACAGGTTATCCAATCCCAAGTGGTCAACTCTAAACACATATACACATGAACACCACTAAACAGACTCAGTAGGGGTGTGTGTGTGTGTGTGTGTGTGTGTGTGTGTGTGTGTTAGCAGTAATAACAAACAATAATAACCCTACTCCCTGTATTTGAGAGGGAGTAGGGTGTCCGTGGGAGGACTTGGAGTGGGGAGATGGGGAGGAAATGATGTAAATACAATACTCATGTATGAAATTCTCAAAAAATTTTAAATAAAAAAACCCTTTCTTCTGAGTTGCTTTTGGTCAGGGAGCTTTATCACAGCCACGGCAGTGTGGTAGGTCAAGGGCTGGGATGCTCTGTGGGTGAGGTAGACTCCATGAAGTTCAACTTACAATTTACCATTGGCTCAGTCTGTATGTGCCATATTGAAAGTCCAGGCCCACCTGCTCCACTCCTCCTGATTCTACCTGGCAGCTTGTTCTCAGCTCAGAAGGCTTACCTCTGGCTCTCCATTCTGAACACTTGTCTGTGCTGGGACTCATATCCCTCTGTGCAACAATCTATACATGTATACACACACACACACACACACACACACACAGAAGCTGTTACGGTTTCAATGTGTGATGTTGCTACAGGCTTCTATGTTTGAACACTAGCGTCCCAGGTGGCAGCCTTGGTTGGGAAGTTGGGGAACCATTTTGATGTCTTGAGGGTTATAGCCCAGCCCCAAGTCAGGCCCGAGTTCTGTCTCTTCTTGATCAGTTGAGATATGGAAGCTATACCTCAAGGTCCTACCACCTTGGATGGAGCCTTGGCTGCCATGCCTCCCCTGCCATGAAGGACTATAGCCCCTCAAACCATGAGCCACAGTAGGCCGTTCCTCCTTTAAGCTGCATTCAGTCTACACAGGGGCCCACACATGCATACAACCCTCCTTGCCTCCAAAGAAGAATGGCCTTCTAGAACAACCAAGGAACTCTGAGCAAATCTGAAAAAAGACAGCAACTCCAACAGGAAAACAAGCCCCAAACTATGGCACAAGCCAAACTGAACAGCAAATAAAAGCAGAGGAAAAGCACCTGACTGAGGGGCAGTGAGGCCCAAAGAGCCAGAGACACCCCAGGTGACAGCTTCTGACCTACCTGCACACACGGAGGGGCAGTGAGGCCCAAAGAGCCAGAGACACCCCAGGTGACAGCTTCTGACCTACCTGCACACACGGAGGGGCAGTGAGGCCCAAAGAGCCAGAGACACCCCAGGTGACAGCTTCTGACCTACCTGCACACACGGAGGGGCAGTGAGGCCCAAAGAGCCAGAGACACCCCAGGTGACAGCTTCTGACCTACCTGCACACACGGAGGGGCAGTGAGGCCCAAAGAGCCAGAGACACCCCAGGTGACAGCTTCTGACCTACCTGCACACACGGAGGGGCAGTGAGGCCCAAAGAGCCAGAGACACCCCAGGTGACAGCTTCTGACCTACCTGCACACGGAGGGGCAGTGAGGCCCAAAGAGCCAGAGACACCCCAGGTGACAGCTTCTGACCTACCTGCACACGGAGGGGCAGTGAGGCCCAAAGAGCCAGAGACACCCCAGGTGACAGCTTCTGACCTACCTGCACACACGGAGGCCTGCACACGGAGGCCATCCAAGTGCACTGTCAGAGGAGGCATTTCTGTTTCTTCCTTTCCTTCCACAAGCAAACTCTTGAGTGAAGATTGCTACACACAAGCGGCACCGACCAAACACTGGGAAAGCCAGGTCAGGGAGTGGGGCAGATAACTGGGAGCCAGAGGAGGCCAGGCCAGCATCCCACTAAGCCCCACAGAGAGCAACCTGTGCTCACTCCTGCCCACCGAGCTCTGTGGGAACAGGCCATATTCTAGAAAGCTGCATATTTCCACCCTCTGCCCGTCCCGCTGCAAGCATCCTGTATGCTCCCTACCTCTTGGGCTTTCAACAGAGCCGCAGGTGCCAGCTGCTGGGAGTGAGCATCTCTTGGTACTTGAAAATAGTCAAGGATCTGGAAACACGGGAGGACATAGGTGCCTCTGCTGAAGACTGGGTGCTGCAAGTCCTGAGTGCCCAACATGGGAGAGAGGATGGGTGAAATGGGGGCAGGGTCCTGGGACACTGAGCCACCTTGAGGAACTGTGAGACACAGAGTCCTCCAGAGCACAGAAATTCAAGGAAAACTCACACAGGCAAAGCAGCTATGCACTCAGCAGGGACCCTTTGATCCATAGGACCTGCCCTGCATGGGAGGCACTCAGGGAGGAGCACCCAGGGAGGAGAACCTGGAGAGGATCACATGGGGAGGAGCACTTGAGAAGGAGCATTTGAGGAGGAGTACCTAGAGAGGAGCACACTGGGAAAGGACTGTCTGCAGTGAAGAAGGGAAGTAGGACAGGAGCAGAGTCAGGGCAGAAGAAGCAAGTACAGACGTCAGAGTGTCACCTTCCTCCTCTTTCCTGACATCCAGAAAACCCTCACAAGAACAAACACCTCCAAATCCTTTGCCTGCAGGTCATGTCTGGGTGACACCCCACCCAGGGCTTGAGTCACTGGCTCTATGACCAAATTAGACAAAGAAGCACAAAGCTAAACAAGTTGCCTTTGGTGCTACACCCAACAACCTTCTCTGCTGGGAGGGGATGGATTTGGAAGAGCCAATGGGAGTAACAGGGCCAGCACAGCAGAAGGTTGCAGATCCCTATCCTGGCCCCACAACCTTCCCAGCAAGCCCAGGCCCTGCAGGACTGGACGGCCCCCAGGCAGACAGCTCTCCTGCCCACACTTCTGCTTGGAAGAGGTCATATCTGGGCCTACCACAGAGCACAAAACCTCTAGGCGGCTGTCATCGACTTCATTCTCATTAAACACAGCTCTAGCTAAGTTCTGGTCACAGTTCCACAGAAGAGGAAGTTGAGACACAGAGAAGGCAAGATATGTGCGAAAGCTCACACAGCAAGCCCAGTCATACAAGGAACATCAGATCAGGGGGCGCTATACAGAGGTGGGCTTGGGCTTTAAAAATTGCCTTCTAGTCTCCTTAGAGCATGCCAAAATTCTTTGACCTTTGCCCCTCCAAGAAAAAGCCACTACAAAATAGATGCAGTGGTGTCCATGGTGTGCTCTGTCCTGTGATTCCCTCTGGCCCCTCTGCCTCTCATAAATGGCTGAGTTAGGGGCCCCTCTCATCACACACTACGGGGACACCTTTTTGAGGTGGGACTTATTTGTCCCCCATCCTGCCAGGATGCTCCTGGTACTGGGGTAAACCCTAGGCTACGGCAGACCACAGGCAGAAGGGAACACACCTCTTCATCCCTCAGCTCCCCTCAGGCCATTCAGTGGTTCCCACCTTACTGGTGAGGTACCAAGGCTAGTATACAGGGGCCAGCAGCTTGCCTGAGGCTACCCCTCATTCTACCTGGTCAGCAACAGTACAAGCCAGTTGCCTGTGAATCTAAGGTTCTGTCACCTCCGCTGCCCCCTGCTGGTCTGTCCCCCCCTCCCATGGGCCAAGGACAGCAGAACCAAGAGACATGTGGGCAGCAGATGTCTGCTCAGCTCGCTCTGCTCCCCATCTGTCTGTCCTCACTGCTGGCTTCCACCTCCTCTCTCTCTCTCTCTCTCTCTCTCTCTCTCTCTCTCTCTCTCTCTCTCTCCTCTCTCTCTCACACACACACCCTCTTTGTATTTTCTGGTCCTCTCTCCGAAAACTCCCTTCCTGTCCCAGTTTCTCACCCTCCCCATCCCCCCCACCTCTTCGTCAATCCCAGCCTGCCCCTCACTGCAAAACCCCTCACCTGTATGTGGCCCACCAAGCAGCTGCTCTCAACTAATTTTCTCCACCTCTGAGTAGAAGCTAACCTACCCAGCCCCAGGCCCCAGGCCAAACACAAAGGCCTTATCAGGGCTGTGGGCGGGGGAGCCCTGGGAAGGGGGGAACCGGGGGAGGCTGGAAGCCCTTTCCCGGTCTCCAAATTGTCTTATTTGTTTGGTCTGGCTCCTGCATCTCCCACTAGCTGACATTCCAACTGGGCAGTGGCCCAGCCACTTCTCTCAGCCTCAGAAAGGCTTTTAGGAACTGAGAAATCCCTCAGAAGGTGTCCTGAGTTATAGCTGGGGAAACTGAGGCCCATAGAGGGTACCCTCTCCATGCTACAGAGAGTTGGCCTATCATGTGCACCGTGTACCCCAAAAACATAAAACTGTGCCTGGAACCTCACACACCTTACACCTTTACACCTTTGCCAGGTGCAGGCATGCATTGTCCTTGCAGCATAGATTTGCAAATGGAGGCTCAGAGAGGCCAAGTGACTAGCCTAGGCTCACACAGCTTTTAAGTATTAGCTTAGGGTTTGAACCACAGACACTCTGGCCCCCAAGCCCAAAATTACAACCTCAGCAGTAGCTGAAATATTTTGCCCTCCAACATTTCTTTCCCAGCCTCCCCAGCCTGAACAGCTCTACACTAAGATGTCTTTAATGGTTAGTCTCATTCACCTAGGAGAAAGAGAAGGGGGGAGGGGGCTCCCAGCTCTTGTGGTGGTTCTCAAAGCCCTGAGGGACTATAGTCTATAAGGGCCCAAGTGTCTGGAAACCACACAGATGTTCCAGCCACAGGCCTGGCTGCCAGCCCCGGACAGAATTAGCTCCCAGTCGGAGAGAGTTTCCTCCCTGGTCCCACGCCTCTGCGCCTAGCTCCTTCTGAGTCACTGCAGCACAGCCAGAAGACTGCCCCACTTGTTCTTGGCTTAGATGTCGCCATGCCTGGGCCAAACTTGATGAGGATGAATAGAAGTGAGGAGCCCACCTACTCAGGGGCCGGCAGATCCCAGGGCACCTCCTATGGCCGGTGGGCACACAGAGGGAGGGAGACACCCCAAACATTCATACTGCCTGGTTTTACCCTGCTAAGGTACCTGCCCCTTAGTGAGCCAGAAAGTCTTTCCTTCCTCTCAAAGGTGCTGGACCTCAGACCCATACCCTCCTGCCCTGCCCCTTCAGGCTCACCTGGATGTACTCTTCAAGAGATCTCCCTGCTAGGCATGGAGGAACACACGTGTAATCCCAGCACACAGGAAGCAGAGGCCAGAGGCTCACCACATGTTCAATCAAGGCCAATGCCATGAGAGTCCTATCTCCCTAGCCTTCTGGCAGCAGGTCTGAGCAATGCCCCTGGTGGCAGTGAGGATGGAAGAGCACAAAAGGGTCTACGAGGCTCCGAGATGGCTGTGCTCTGAGTCCTCAGCCCAGGGCCAGCAAGGTCTCCTCAGCACTAGAGCTAAGAGCTATGGCCTCCCTCTCCTGTCTACCCTGGGGCCCTCCTCCACTAAGCCCTCACCGTGTGAATGGGTTGCCATTTCCTGCCAACACACCTGAGGAGCCAGATTCTCAGCATCCTCCTGGGGCCCACCCAGCCTTGTCCACCTTGTCTCCTCAGCAGCCCACAGTTCTTCCCAGCACCTCTGCCACCCTGTAGTGCACAGGCTCTGAACCAGTCCCTCCCTCTGCTGTGGTTCCCATAAATGTTCCTCAAAGCCCATGTGATAAAAACTTTGTCTCAAGCCTATGGCTTTATTGGGACATAGTGAAACTTCAAGGAGGCCTGTGTAAGGAAGCTAGGTCTCTGGGATAGGCCCATGAAGGGGGTATTAAATCTCTCTCTCTCTCTCTCTCTCTCTCTCTCTCTCTATCTATCGATCTATATCTCTGTCTTTCCTGTTTGCTATGAAATGGGCACCCTCCTCTACCACATGATGCACCAGTTCGTCACAGCTGTCCAGGGACTAACTAAAACCTTTCCCACTGAACCCAAAGCAGGTACTGGTTACAGTCACAGGAAGCTGTGTGACAAATCTTCAGCCTTCAGACCATGTCACAGTTACCTCCTACTCAAATGGCTCCTGTAGTCCTAGAGTCCAGATCAACTCAAGGGCTCAGGACCTGAGGCTTGACCCCTACCCAAGGCTGACCCTGGACTCAGCAGCAGATGCTATAGATACCTTGGGCCCAGGTAGAAAGTGGACCCTCCTTGCAAACCTAGTCCCATAATGCATTGGAGACCACTGCCCAATGTGGTCATTTTCCCCAGAAGTCAGCCCTAGCGATAGGAGTCCCAGGCACCATCCTGAGCAGGGGCAGCTGTCTCTCTAGTCCTAGCAGATTCTATGCACATGCTCAGTACCTTCCCTGCAACCCAGCTGTGTACAAGGCCATCAGACACAAAGCCCATACCTGTCTCCATAAACTCCACCTGAGCCACTGGAGGTGGCCTTTTATGTCCCACTGGCCAGGAAGCTCAGCACCATATCCAGTAAGTCCCCTAAACCGGGTCTTGACCTTGCTTGGGCAATGATCCCTGAGCAGGGTACACAGTGTGCCTGCAAGTCATCAAATATGGGGCACTCATGGGGGCTACTTGGGACTGGTTAGTCTCTTCCACACTAGGATCCAGCCTACAGCACACATGAACATGCTGTTCAGAGTGTAGGCTGAGAGGTTAGAAGCTGGGTGTCCCTGGAGAGGTGGTTCTGAAGCCCTGGGCCTCCTAAACCCAGGCCTTGAGCACTGAGGGCAGCCCATACCAGGCCCAACTCAGAGACAGAGCTGCTTCTCTGACACTGAGCAGCAGTTGGCAACTGGCAGCCAAAGGGCAGCTCTCCCAACAGTGGCACCACAACCTGCCTGTGAGAGAGAACAGAGAGAGGGACCCCCCAGGCTGGGCTCTTCCTGGGGTCCCTACTCTTAACCCACATGCTTTCTTCTCCCATCTCTGTCCTCTATCAAATGAATGAGGGAACATCTCATCTCACCACACCCCTTAGTTGCCTCCCCCCCACCAACCCACAGTCTGCCCAGGTATGTGAGATCATGGGGCCACCCTGTGGGAGACATTGGGACATCAGGATTCAATATGAATAACGGTCACCCTAGTAGCTCAATTTATTGCATACCCACTATGTGCTGGGACACACATACTGGAGTGTCATCTCACCATGACCCTACAGATATGGTTGTTTTACACCTGAAGAAGCTTGAGCCTTTTCTCTGTCCCTGGCTTTACTT